TTTGCATGAACATTTGGGCGGCGTTATGCAAATCTTTCCACATAGCAACGTAGACATTTGGGGGCATGTTAGAACGAGCCGTTTTAGGTAGGCGTGGTTGACTTAACTTTTATAAAGAATATCTCTTTGGATTTGAGACTTTAGTCTTTGCAACTTTACAGATCTTCTTTATGCACCAAGAGCTTGTAACACTCCAAAGAGAAAGGAAAAATTTAAATCACATCATATGACCCCTTTAATACTGTTTCACCATGCAACAATGCAAATCTCTGTTTCTTTCTTTCCTGACTCCTTATTTGATTGAACTGCAAAAATCTTCGAAATCTTATGTTTAGATTTTAACTTACTCTGAAATTTATTTTTGCATACTGTTTCAGATGTACAGTTTGCAGTAGGAAGCATGCTAGTGTTGCATTCTGAAAACATAACCACTTTCTCTTTAACTGTGGGACTTAAATTTATTTGGCCACTGGACTGTATTAGTTAATGGGAGTCATGCTGAAGCACTTGGAGTGAAACATGTGCATCTATGTACCTACTTAACCATATTTTGGGGACAAATTTGTACCCAGAAGTGAGCTAAACCTGACAAAATCTCCCAAAACCTCGGGGGATGTTTTTTTGTAAAAACATTAAGAAATGTGTGGGTTAGGGTTTTGTGATAGTACTTATAACTAGCCATACAGTACTGTTCAAAAAGGCCATAAGTATTTTCACAAAAAAAGAAAAAAAATGGTTTTAAGCTTTTCTATCTTTTGCTGTAGTGTGTCAGTAGGAAATATCAGTTTACATTTCCAAACATTCCTTTTGCCATTAATTGTAATAATCCAGTGAGATTTTTGTATGGACAAGTAGTTTGACAACAGTCAGTGCTCCACACAGAGATCTGATCTCACCGTCATCCAGTCTGTCTGGGATTACATGAAGAAACAAAAAGAACTGAGGCAGACTAAATCTAGAAGAACTTTGGCAACATCAAGACGCTTCAAGAAAGCTACTGTACTGTGAAAAGTTTTAGGCACTTGTGTAAAAATGCTGTAAAGTGAAGATCCTTTCAAAAATAATGTCATATATAGATGTTATTTTATCAATTAACTTCTATTAACTAAATCAAATCAACATTAGGTGTGACCACCCTTTGCGTTTAAAGGTGACGTATCATGAAAATCTGACTTTTTACGTGTTTACAAGCTATAATCGGGTCCGTGGTGCATCTACCAACCCAGAAAACGTGAAAAAGAACAACCCAATAATGTTTTTTGATAAGCATTTCTCTGCAAGCTTGTGAAAAAATGAGCCGCTCAGATTCAACCCCCCCCCCACCTTGACGTTGTAAGGGGATCTTATAATATTACCGCCCCTTATTCTGCATATTTCCACCCACGCCGTTGTGTTTTCTCAAACGACAACGGTGTTCCAGTTCTGTCGTTGGCTGTAAAGATGAGCACAGAACACTAATTAGAGTCCCAGCCTCAGAGGAGACGAGAGCAGAGGATGGCAGTGGTTTTGACAGTTTAAGCGCAATAAGACTTGAAAGAACTTAGTTTAGTCCTCACATGCTAAGTGACAGCAGCTTTCTGTGCGCGTGCTTCGAATGTGTGGGTTCAGAAAACCGTATATCAGAGAAAGGAAAAATTTAAATCGCATCATATGACCCCTTTAAATGGATATGGCTTTAAAGCACATGATTTCAGTGCGATATACATGATAATCAAAACTAAACGCATGTTTTTTTAGCAGAGTATCTGAGGTACTAACTGTAAAGGCACAGCCCTCTTCTGGAAAAGGGGGCAGGGAGCAGTAGCTCATTTACATTCAAAGAGACATGCACGAAAACGGCGCGTTTCTGCTTCCACTCAAAATAGGCATTTTCAAAATGAAATAATAAATTATCTGTGGGGTATTTTGGGGACACTTATATTACATATTGTAAAACATTGTAAAACTTTAAAACTAATGACCCAAGACTTTTGCTCAGTACTGTATATAAAAACAATAGAAGTCTATGCAGTGTCCCCCATTGTATGATTTTGCACACTCTACAAATTTTGCAAATCTTTAAAGATTCCTCTGATCCTAGACCAAAATTTGTAGTCTTTGAATGGTAGTTTGACACGTTCGCCGACAGCCGATTAATGACCATTGATCTTTGATCAAATTCTGCCAGTGTCGGCACAGTCCTGCAGTATGGCTTTTCCTATGAAGACCATCAAATCAAAATGCATTACGAGCACAGAACCTGATGGTGCAATTGGTGTGACAACAGCAAATCACTACTTGCACCACTTGCTTCCCTTTTTCTTTTCAATGAATGAATTTTGTTTTCAATCCGGCACATTCCAGCTTCTGAATTTGAGTGCCCTTAATAGATAGATAGCTCATATTTTAAATAACATTGACACTAATTGCCCAGGCACGACAGAAACTCCAAACTCCTGCCCGTGTATCTCTGTGTGAGAGAGGTTGTGCACTTGAGAGCTTGTGTATGGATGTGTGTGTGTCTCTTTGCAGAGTGAGTTTATATAAGCTGTAAACAAGAGCAGCTCTGTCCTGCTGCAGGAGAAAGAATGAGAGCGAGGGGAACCAGAAAGAGGGTAGAAAGTGTGTGAATGCGTGAGTGTGCGTGAGAGTTTGCTTGTGCTATCTGGTGCTGGATGCTAAAGGAACCGTTCACCCAAAAATTAAACTTGCTTTTCTCACCCCAAATGTCACTCCAAACATGTATGACATAATTTCTTATGTGGAGCAAAAAGGCTGAAATTTAGGAGATTGTTCATGCTACTCTTTTCCATACAATGAAAACAAATAAATAAATAGGGTAAAGTTTAAAATGTAGAATATTTAACAATATTTTTTGTATCATTTTAATGTATTATTTTTGCACATATTTGTGAGCCAATTACCGTCTATCAGTAAAAAACCTGTTTGATTGCTTGTACTTTGGACTGAATGTGTGTACTTTCTGTTTGATGACAGATGTTCTGTGAGTGGTGATCTGTCAGAGGATGGATTGAGCTCTGAAGAAGATGGCAACAGTTCTGACTCCAGCAAAGAAGATATGAGCCATTCAAAAGACAAAGAGGTACTACACCTTTACGCAGACAGACATAACTACATCACAGCAAAATGGATGGTCATTTTTGGCATGCCAGGTTCAGCACAAGTTAAGCTCTGACAACATCTGTGATTGTTTCTTCCATTACCACAGAAAATCATTTAAACTCATCTCTTAGAGTAAACACAGACAAAAAATTGTTTACACTAATCCACCTACAATGGAAGTTTATGAGGCAGGACATTGCACTGGGATAAACGCTGAAATACAGTGTTTTGAAAGTATAGCCACAGGACTTGAATATTATGCATCAGATTATTGAGACAAAATTGCATACTGGCCTCAGCAAAGTTGACGAACTTTGTTGAATAACTAATTTTTAAGTTAGTTTAATTTTAGCATGGTTTAACAGTTGCAAAGTAAAAAAAATACAACCAAATATACAGTGGCATGACACTGTCGATAAAGCTTAATCCTTTTTCAACTTCCATCTTCAAAACAGCTGCTGATTTAACAAAGGCCATGTGGGCGGGGAAAATGTCAACCACATTAAGGTATTTGGAAGGTATAATTAAGGTAAATGAAAGCTCCAGTGCAAACATGTTTTGTTTGTGTTACGGGACGAAAGAGACGTGAGACGTGCGGATCCATTTGCAAGCTTTATTTAGAAGACGTGGTCAGAAACAGGCATGGGTCAGACAATGGCAAACTGGTATGTAGAAGACAAGGCAAGAGCAGTCCGGTAAACAAGCGAGGGTCAGTCGACGGCAAATGTAATCCAACAGGGCGAGACTAGAGGGATAATCCAGGTACAAGGCAAAGGTCCAGGCAGGGGCAAACAGTATCTGAACAGGGCAAGACGAGAGGGGTAATCCGAGATACACAGGCAATGATAAGAACACGAGAAACAGACAAGGCAAGATTGTAACAGTCTGTGTGGCGTGAGAGTCAATATAATGGGAGGGCGACCTCTGGTGGCAAGCAGACGAAAGTTCGTGGACAGGATTCGTGACAGCTTGTGTCCTTAGCCATCTTCAAGAATTGGCTAAAAACACATCTCTTCCATCTTTATTTGACTTTCTAACTTTAGCACTCTCTATTCTAATTCTATTCTTTAAAAAAAAACCACACACTAGCTTCTCTAATCTTTTTGTATTCTATCTGTTTTCGTTTTATTTATTATACAATTAACAAAAGCAAAAAAGGCCTCTAACACTACCTTGCTCTATTCTTTTTCTATTCTATCTGTTTTCTTTTTATTTATGATATGATTAAAAAAACAAAAAAACCTTGCTACATGTACTGCTTTAAGCTAACTGAGACTTGTTATAGCACTTGCATATCATTGCTCTTTTGTTGATTTTGATTGCTCGATATTGTCCTCATTTGTAAATTCCTTTGGATAAAAGCGTCTGCTAAATGTCTAAA